GGTGTTGGTTGCTGGAGAGGATGTGTTCTGGTCTTTTTGTTTCCTTCTTAGCTTTTTTATTATCTGTTTTGAATGGTGTGTAAATGTGGTTTATCTCTATGTGTCTATTGATGGCTGATTTGTCTAAATACCAAGCTTCCAGGAATTCCCTAGCATTTTTGGATTTAACATGATCAGTTTCCCAGTTGAAACTGTGGTGGTATCTGTCCATGTGTTGTGAGATTAAGGAGTTTTCATGGTGTCTTCTGACTGCTAGTTGGTGTTTATGGATGCGCTCTGCTAGCCTTCTGCCTGTCTGTTCTACATAGTAGCTGTTATAGTCCTTACACTGTACGTTGTAGATGACTCCTGTTTTTTTCTTCTTGGGCTACCAAGTCTTTTGGTTTACGTAAGATGTTTTGGAGGGCTTTAGTTGGTTTGTGTGCTATGATGATGCCCTGTGGTTGTAATAGTCTGTTGGTTGTTTCTGAGATGTTTTTGAAGTATGGCAGTGTTATCCTTTTCATAGCTTGTGTTGGTTGTGCTGTAGTGGGTTGAATGGCCATGCACTTTTTGATAACGATGATTGATTTGATGGTTGATATAAATAAAAAACAATGAGCAATTCCTCCAATCTTGGGAAAGGTTCCATCCATCACATTCAGACCCAGATAGTTATTTCTGAGATTCCATTATCCTACTTCTAAAAACAATGTAAGGAAAGGTAAAGGTGAGCCATCAGTGTAATGTGGCTGCATAGAAAATGAGTACAATCTTGTGCTACCTTAATAGAAAAATACTGTTAGGAAATTATTGCTTGATTCTGTATTAGGCACATTCATCTAGTTTTATTAAGGACAGTGAAAAGTGGGTGCTTACCTAGGTAAGATCAAGCAAGGTGGGGAAGGGTTCAGAAACCAAAAGAACTAAGTATGTTGAGCATACAGACAAGTAAAGAGAAGCATTGCAGTATTTTTCAGATGCTTGTAATGTTTTAGGAAGAGAAAACAGGTCTGTTTTCTACTGAGAGCAGGAGGAGTGAAAATAGTCAGGAACAGCTAAAATTGTATCAACCCCAATAGATCAGTTTTACTGAATTAATTCAATTGGCTAGGTTTGCAAAATAATTGAGCTATCAGTTAACTATACTGAAATATGTATTAGCCAATTCTGTTTTACCCTAGTATGTTGTGTGCAATCTCAACTTAAGAAAACCTGATTAATAGTAGATGCTTTTGAGCTGTCACAAGTAGTTGGTTATCCTTAAAATATTATGAACAGTCTAGACGACCTTTATATCAAGGATACTGCAGCTATTTCCATTGTAGCTAAAGTATAAGTTAGCCTCCAGGTCTCTTCCAACTCTGCTTTTGTGACATAGGTACAAGTCATGGGAAGTCATTATAACAAAAGAACTTTTTGCTCCCAGAAAAGACTCAAGAGCTTTGCAGGAAATGGGCTGTCTCACACCAGAGTCCTTCCAGAGTCACAAAGAGGTTGTCTTCATTCACATGATTGCCAGCGGCCCTTCTGTTTGTCAAGGGTATAGAAAAATGTCATTTCAGAAGCTGCTCTAAACTTTATAATTCAAACAAGAAAATGTCTGTTTCAGAAAATGCTCTGAACTTAGGATTCCCTTGGATCTTCACTGGCCAAGTTTTGAACCGAACACTCAGTGATTTCTTTAGTTTAGTCTGAACTTCAAAAATTCAGAAGTGACCATGTTTGTCTTCATACCAATAAAAGCTGAATTTTGCACGAGAAACCTCTATCATAGGAAGAAGACCAAACCAGGTGGTTTTCTTTTGTTCTTCCCCCTTTCCTTCTGTCTAAATGAGCAACCCTACCCTCTCTATCTCCCTAGCTCTATGACTGCTCTGAACATATCAAACATACCAATATACTAAGATACGGATTAAAGCTGAGATATAAAACAAAAATAGATCAGATGCTTACAATATAAGCAAAGTGAGATCGAGTGATGATCACAGAGTTTTTACCAGCCACAGTGATACTCAGCGAGCAGCTGGGATCCAACCTTGGCCCATCACCATCCACTGGGGCTACTTCCACACTGAGCAAAAAGATGTCTTTGGTGCTGCCATCAGTTACTGAAATTTCCATGCTGTCTTCTTCTGAGGATGAGCCATCATGGAGATAATGCAAGGCGTTCCTGGTGATTTCCTCATATGTGAAGGTATCACCTTCCCAGAAAGAAAGGTTGGAATCAGAATTTCCTCCTTTACATACTGTTAAGATAAACTCCCCTTAAGTAAACGTAGAAATGTGCCTCGGTCTCAGTACTCTCTGTGAATTTACCATATTATCCCTGAATGCAACAGGGAGGCACCAATTTTGTTCAAGGCTGGAATAAAGCTATGTACAGAGAAGGTTCCCCCTTGCCAGTCCAGAAGTTCTGCTTTAATGGCTAACAACTGAGAAGACAGTCACTTCAGTTTATGGAACTGAGCACATTTGAGTTCCAGCATATCCACTTGAAGCAAACCCCAAAAGAACGTTCTCCGTTCAGAGGACAGATGGACAACATCCCCTAAGCTCAAGTCAAGAAGCCTTGGAAAAAGCCAAGGCATTTATAGAACAGACTTCTCCAACTCATCCCACCCTCTTCCCCTGCCCTTGGGGCTCTGAGTAAAAACACTTTATTCAGATAGGCTTAAAATACTAAAAGCAGCTCTCTGTCTCATCACTGTGAGGGTAAAGGAGAAAGCTTTCTCTTCCTTGCCTTTTATACCCTGGATCGTGGCCAGAAAATCATCACTGCAAAAGCATCCTTGCCAAAATGGTTTCTTAAGGGTCCCTAAGGCCTTTTGCCCTAAAAGCTAATCTCCCTGTAGAAACTCTGCTTAGTGTCTTTTTCTTCTGATACTTAGTCCATCAAACACATATTATATTACACACACACACTATAGAGCTGCCCAACAACCTGGATTTGAAGGAGGAAAAGCTGATTTGGAGCACGCCTAGTGCACTCATCCCACCTGTTAGTGCCTCCTTAAACCAAGAGTGTCTTTTTTTGTGGCTGGGAAGCAGCAGGACGCGGCTTTCTCAAGGCATTGCAAACAGATGCCTGGGACACGTCAACAAAAGCTCAGAATCACTTTTTCCTTTTCAAATCCGGATCACTGCACAGCCCTTACGTTGTTTCTTTCTCCACTTTTGGTGGGATTTATTGTATTTTTTTCTTCTTTGTTTGTCACTTTCTCTTTTGTACATTGAAACAGAGGCTTTCCAACTCTTCAGGCCCTGGAACCTGTTAAAAAAATTCTTGGAACCCCTGATGAAAAGGCATAGCTCTGGTGATAGGACATTGGAAATAAAATTTTGCTTATTTTAATTTATTTATGCAACTTTATATATCAAAATTGTTTGATATTTTTATTTTATTTTATGTGCCCTTAGTCTCTCAAGGAATTCCATCCAGTGTTCAGGAAACCAGTTTGAAAAACCCTGCATTAAAACATATGAACTGGATCCCTGTACATTCTGATTTGGAAATTGGTAAGCTAAGAGCTTAGTTCAACCTTCTCCAACCTGATGTCCTCTAACCACGTTGGACCTCAACTGGACCAGGAGGCCCTGCCTTCAGAAACTCATCCCCTGAGGACCATCCTGTTAGGCTACTGCAATGTGACCTATTTGAAGCTCCCTTTAGAGATCTCCCAGAAGCTGCAGCTGGTACAACCTACAATGCTGAGATCATTGGCAGGGCAACTCCACCTGTATCTCAGGATTTTCATCTGCCAGTAAAATTTGTACATACTCTTCCTAGTTTGGATTTTAAAATAGGCCAGATAACTGAAAATCCTGAGATTAGAGTGGCAACAGCCAGCTTTTTAACTATGGCTATAAAAACAAGGTTTTTAGTAACAAATCAATGAGTTGGGATTTAAAGTGCATTATGTAATATTTATTAAATATTTTATTTGTTAAACTGTTTTATCTAATGCCAAGTTTAGATTATATTTGTAACCTGCTTTTGGGCCTTTTGATTGTAAATAAAACTCAAACTCAAACTCCACCAGTACAGAAGAACACCTTTATTAAAGTTGCTTCACTGGTTGTCAATAGACTTCCAGGCCCCAATTCAAAGTGCTGGTTGTTATCTTTAAAGTTCTACACAGTGCAGCACTGGGATGTTTCAGCCTATGCTTCCCAATGCTTTTCTTACTGTATCACCCCTGTATTTCAGGATTGGAAGAGTTATAATACTGTTGTACGAATGAATGAATGACTAATCATGGGTTTTGGCCATGTTAGCTGGAAATTCTGGAAGCTGAAATCTAAGTATATCTGGAGAACACCAGGTTGGGGATGGCTGAGTGATTTTATGACCAGTACATGGTCCATCACTCTCTACAAAAATAAAACACTTGCAACAAAGTATAGGTAGACCTCACTCAACGACTGCCCTGTTTAGCAACCATTCAAAGTTATGATGGTGCTGAAAAATGAACTTTACAACTAGTCCTCACATTTACGATGTTGGCAGCATTGCCATGTGTATGCTTTACAACCAGGTTCCGACAAGCAAAATCAATGGAGAAGCCAGCAGTAAAATTGCAAGTCATGATCACGTGATGTCTCACTCAACAACCACAGCAGAAGTGAGGTTGTAATCCTGTCAGTCACATGTTTCACTTACAACCACTTTGTTTAGTGATGGAGTTGCCAGTCCTAATTGTGGTCATTAAGCGAGGACTACCTGTAAGTATTCATTTTGCACTTCAGTGGATTTTTTTTTCTTAACAGACTTGTCTTTTAATGTAAAAGATCAGAGACAAAACAACATGAGAAACCTCCCCCAAGCATACCTGTTGTCATGTGGACAAGGAATCCAGAGCTGTGCTTGAGAAGAGCTCCATGGTGGGGAGGCTCTACCACTTCAAAGATGAGATCTTCAGCAGCAATGTGCCCATCACTGAGTGTCAGCTTTATTCCTTAACCATCCAAATGTGGAAGTGGGGGAAACAAAGTGTATTTAGATTTTTAGCCTCTGATAGCCAAGCGGACTGCAATTTATAGGCAGGTTATAGCACAAGCAGGGGAGTCAGTGGCCTTTCGGGTATTGGTGCATTAGAATAATTGGTCACAACACTGATTATAAGATCTGGGTTGCTGTGAGTTGTAGTTCAGCCACTGTAGAAGAGCAGATTTCCCAATGAACTTCATTATACAAAATTACTATACACACATTTGAAGATGGGTCTCTAGGCCAAATATTCCCTTGGGAAACTGAATTGGTTGCACTGGTTGATATAGCCTGTTCAGATGTTACCTTCATGTGTCAGCCTAAAACAAAAATGACTGTAGGTAAGGGCCAGTTCACCCATTATGCTTCCTTCCAAAAGGATTCAAACTCACAAGGATCCCATGCAGAGTTATGTTTCCAGATGGTTTTCTTCATTTATGTTTTATGTCCTCTCTTCTTTGCTTATGTTCATAGCAAAGTGAGTTTCCAGACCCTGGCCTTTTATCAATGATTAATTCCTCCACTGAACATTGGGTTCCTCGATTGGTGCCAAGAAATTTATGGGAAGTCCTCTAATTGAACTGCTACGGTTATGAATTACAAATATAGCATGGTGTGTACCTGAAGCCCATTGATGAATAAGCCCTCTTTCCTTACCAATGGCAGCTTTGCCTCCTTGGCTGACCTCAAGCACTGGAGCAGTAATCTGGAATAATGGAGGCTCTACATCAGTGGAAAGCAAGTGGATGGTAAACACCATCTCAGGACTTACATGTTCTCCATCCGACACTAAAAGAAATTACTGGAGTGAATACGTTGCATAAAAGAATCAGACTTAAAATTATTCTTTCCTTCCTGGGATGTGAAATAAATGATTGGCTGAAATCCAAAATGTTGGGTTGGGTTTGATAAAGCCTCAATAAGATTAAAGTATGCTCTAGGCAAAACTACCCACACCAGCACTTCCAGACTTAGTTGACTAGGTTAGGGGGTTCACACAATACCCTAATCCTCCCCGTGACCTTAGATAAACGCATCATGCAAATGGGATCAATGAAAGTGTCCATGTGCCCCTAAAATATGAGTCTGTCTTTCAGTTCCTTCCAAACAGCATTATTTTTTTTTTAAAGTTCTATTATAATGTAACGTATTCCATATCCAGCATTTGCCTCTCCCATACCCTTATCTCTGCCATGCACACACTTGGTACATAACTATCTGTGGGAAACTGATTTATGTATCTTAAAACATGTTTGATGGCAGATCCAGGTCTAGAATCTGCTCTGCTACCAAACAGATGAGGTAATAAGCAAAAACAGGTGGTGCTCAGCTTTCTTCTATGATGTAATGCATTTAGAAGAAAAGAGGAGGGGAAGAATTAAGCATCCCCTTGTATCAGTGTTATTCAAACTTGGCAACTTTAAGCACGCTGGCTGGGGAATTCTGGGAGTTGAAGTCCACATGTCTTAAAGTTGCCAAGTTTGAAAAAGATTGCCTTATATCATTACAAAGGTGGGGGAAGATTAAGGACCCTTTTCCTTATATTCCTGTACCTTAGCTGGATGGTACTATAGGGAAAAAACATTGAGAGAACTGCTGGGGGGAATGAAGCAGGAAGGGAAGGGTTAAGTATTGCCTTGTATCAGCAGCATAAGCACTTTTTTCTATATTCCCCTTGACTTAGGTGGACACACTGTGGAGGAAAGGAGCTGAGAAGAAGAAATCCAGGTGAAAAAAGAAAAGGCGATTCGCTTGCAAACTCTTCACCACCTAGGTGAAATGCTGCCACCAATAACTTTGCAGCTGCTTGAAAATGTTTGATCTATCACCAAGTCTCCTATTTCAGCCCTACATTTCATATTTATTAGGTGGTCAGAATGTCTTCAAAATAGATATAATGAAGTATACACCCTTTGAGTCACGAGCAACAAATGTCCACATACCTGTAAAACGAAAGTTGATTGATTCTGGAAGACCTAGAGAAAACGAAAAGACTAGGAAAGCACAATTGTTTGCAGCGTGTGGAAAAGCACAATGTTAGGTAAGTTGACCCACTACACGTGTGACGTCACAAAGAATTTGAGGAAGGGGAAAGAAACAAGCCCAACCCTATTTGGAAATACTGTCTGCATCTCGGTAGATTTGAGACCCCAGTTTTTAATAAGAGGGAAACATTCGGGTAGATTTAAAAATGCTTCAAATATCTTGAAGCAAAGTGTGGTGGGTCTCCATGAGTTTGAGAAGGTCCTACATCTAGAAATTCTCCAGCCTTCTGCATCTCCGAGACAAAGCGATCTTCTCAGTCCAGTGATGGAACACAAGCACTGCAGTCTCATGGTTCAATGTTCCCTGCCTGATTCACCAGAGAGACACCAGACAGACAGAAGCTGATCAACTGTGACAATGTTGGGCAAGGTCAACTAATCACCTCTTCCTGTATAAAGTATATTTTTAATCTCTCTAGCATTTCTAGCTGAAAGTCCTTGAAAAGCAGAAGCTGGATAAAAGAGTCCCTAAGAACTGTTTCTATTCTCACTCATGTTTTTTAGATAATCGATCTGCCTCTTTAATAAACACCCCCTCTCTCAAATGATTTCCTTTAAAAAGAGAAACGTTTTAGCACTGGCCTTTGGAACTACAAGGTCTTTCAGACTTTACCAGTGATGCTGATAATGCTGAGTAGTGTTAGGTAAAGTAAGGTGACAGATCTGGAATGTCATAAAAAGGCAGCCAATGATTAGTTATCGAAATGGGTTTTGAAGGATATGAACTGCTCAAAATGGGGAGTGTGACTTCCTGGATACTTCTGCTGTAATAAACTCATCTAGTTTGCTATGCTATCCTTAATCAAGGTGGGGAGAGGGGAGATAAAATGTAGTTCTGCTCCAGGCTGCAGGATCTTTGGGGATCTTATTTAAAAAGAACCCAGAACTTTAACCACAGGAAAAAAAACACACTTTTTTGCTATAAACCTTCGGCCTGTTTATAACAGAGGCTGACACAAAATACATCTTTAAAAAGTGAGAAAGAGGAGTATTTTTGAAAAATGCCCAGGTTTCAGCTTTTGGCAGATTCTTTCAGTACAGCTCTCATTCATCTTGATGGATTACGCACCCTGCGTTTCAGCACTAGCAGGCTAAACACAGCATTTTACCTGATAAGGAACTCCAGTTCCTATTGGAAGATTGCTTCGTACACCTCTTTGCTGTTGTAGAGATGGCAGCTGTTTGCACCGTAATGCATCGAAGGTATTATGTCTAAGCAATGCCTAATGATCCAAGCAATTTGATAGGAGCCCAGGGAATTTCATGAGCCGATATTAATTCATGAACTGATACTAATCTGATGATTAGTGATATAATTGCTGTAAAATTTCATTGTGAAACACACGTAGCCCAACAAATCACTGACGGCCATATATCAGAGAGAATGGGAAAATTATGAGTGGGTTGCATTGCAGGCGGGATGAACGTTCCCCCAACAAACTGGAATGGATTGCCATGTCATAAAGACGCTGGTGCTTAACCATTCTTCATTGTTTCCCTTTGTGAAGTCCTAAATCTCAGGATATTGGACTTGGCACAAACTCTGCTACCAAACAGAAGGGCCAGCAGAAGCATCCTTTTGTTCTGCATTCACCAAGCATCTCTGAAAAATACATCTAAATAACAGTTCTGCCATAACTCTAGGGTAAAAGCATAACACATTCCCACATCATTTATCTTTATCATAATTCTTTGATTTGAGGATGAGAAACATACTCTTTTGGCAGAAGATTTTTAAAATGTCATAGATCCTTAAACAGGCATTTGATCCAGCATCTTCCATGGGGTTAATTGGCTTTCTTACAGTTGGGGTCTTAGACCCTTCATATATTGTTGAACTTTATTGCTCATAATTCCCATCATTGTCCAGGTTGACTGAGGATGGTGGGAATTGTAGCAAGTAGATGCTGAAATCTGCTTTGCCATTTCTCAAAGGTTTATTTCCCTCTGTGAAAAAGGGTTTGGGTTTTCTAACTTACGCTCAGGCTGTTTGAGAATTCCAATTCCTATGGACAGCATTCTGGAACTGAGTGGTGGGGATGGAAGAAGCTACTGGTGGGGAGCTGTGGTTTTCAGTTCCAAATCTTTCTATTGCTCAGAAGCCTCCTTGGCTGACCCTGTTCTCCAACTAAAAAAAGCCCAAGGGAGGGGTCTCCTCCAGAATTCTGTCTCTAGGATTTAATGCAAAGTTGGGGAGAAAGAGAGGGTACAAACTCTGGGGTGACGATCATATAGTGAGAATTGAACATTGACATACACCTCTTGGCCACTCCGCAACTAAAGATGAACATCCGTGAAAATTTCTCCAAGGCTCTCTTTTTCCTTGAAAGATTTTGAAAGAAGGTTCTTTCTCACCCATCAAGAAATCATAGGGAAAAAATGCAGGAAATTTTCCTTGTCAGGTAATCATTGTAACACACAAACTTCTGAAGATCATAGGTTCCTCATCCTGGTCTTCATGTAGGATGAAGCTCAGAAGGTCATGAAACAATGAGAAATGAGGGATACAACTTGAAAGCAAATAGTCACAAAGTGTGTGCGTGTGTGTGTGTGTGTGTGTGAGAGAGAGAGAGAGAGAGAGAGAGAGAGCGCGAGCAACTTTCCCTGATCCATACTGTTACTCCCCAACAAATATTGTTTCCATAAGGGTCAGCAATCAGTCAAATTCTCATAATGCTATATGAACATAATAATTTGGTTGGAGAGGCAACAGTATTATGATTTTTCTACACCAATTTCTTCACTTCATGTTGATCTTTCTGAAGAATTTCTCTCCCCCCACTTACTTCTCTTTTAAATCCAAAGTGTCGATGAACATTTGTACATAATTTTCAGACTTCAATCCTAAATTTTCAAACAACTCCTTATTTCTCTTGATGAATACATTTCCACCCTTCTTTTCCACTGGCACTTTTTTCCAAATTATTTTATTTGGAATCTTTTAAGAAGATTCCAACATTTTACCTACTGCCAAGCCTGAATTTGTCTTATATTGTCTTCCATAAGATTCCTCTCTTGGAACCATCTTCTCCAAGAAGTTTGTACCTTTTATTACAATTCTTGGATGTTCATTTCAGTTACTAATACATATTAATAAATAAAAATTCTGGCTCTTTTCTATAGCATTTATTCTCAAAACTGTTCACAAATTACTATAAATGAGACATCTATCTCTAAAAGAGCAACTCAAATTTGTTCAAAACAAATCTGAAGATCCCAGAAAAAGCCAGGCTGTCATGAAGAACTGTATTTTTGCCCATGCCCTCCAGCTCTTAGCTCTACTGCAGGTATGGCATACAATGATGAGAATGGGAATCAGTGAATGAGTGCTAATCAGTGGATTAACTTCTTACCAGCAAAGGAGAATTCCATCAACTCCCTAATATGTGATCCAGCACTAGGTGGACGGTAGACAATTTTGCCATTGTTGATGTCAGTTTGGGTAAAAGAGGCTACAGGGGAGAATGGTTTGTCCCTGTGCTCCACCACCCCTGTGGCAATGGAGAAAGAATTTATTTATTTCTTAGCTCAACCTGCACAGATTATAAACAACCTATAATTGTAAGTTAAATAAATACAGTAGTAAAATACTATAGTCCTACAAAATATGTTTTACACAGGACTGCAGTTATGTTCTTCCAAAGTGCTGCTAACAGGTCCATGACTTCACAGTGGCTTTGTCCACATAACACACTTAAACCCCCATTCACTTAATAATGGTTGAACCATCAACTAGCCATTCCTTCTGGCTTAACACATGTTGATAAATGTGGCTGGCTAATTTCTAATGAACTAATCAGTATTTCTGTGGATTTTATAAGGGACTAATTAGAACCCAAGGTTTGCAGTGCTCATGGTCACTGAAATCTCTATTATGGAGGTTGTAAATATGAGTCTTTGGAGCTTGTGAAGCTTGTGAAGCTTGCTTAAAACATGATATGAATATTATGCCCTTGTGATTCTTCCCCAGTTTGTATTTTAATCACAGCCAGAGCATTCTCTTCCATCCAGAATCTGACACCCAATAGCTCTGCAGAAACCTACATTTCCTATGGTCCTCAATTCACCATCCTGACAAGTGCCAGACAACGAGGTATATGAATTCAAATTTGGTCTCTATTTCCCAGTTTTGAAGGCTAACAATTTTGCTTAATCCAAGTCAGTCTGATTTACCAACACTTCAGCTTTGACCAAAGAAAGTTCAATAATTCCCCCTGAGCTGGTTTTTTTTATAAATACTTCAGCCACTCCTATATCCTCCAACCCAACCTCCCCACTGCCTGGTTACCAGCCTACCAGTTTCAGTTGTAAAAACAATTGCAGAGAGATTTTTTTTTATATTAAATGATCTTGCCTTGATCTGGAGGCAAGGGTACAGTCACATTGTATATGATTTCCTCACTTGGAATTTGCGAGTTGATAAAGGAAAGGTGATGTGGCTGAATAGGTGTCACACGATCTTCTAGTGCCTGAAAGAGATATATATTTACCAAATAAATAATATATATTTATTTATACTCTGCCTTTCCTCCAGGAATCCAGGCTGTGAAGACCTGGCTCTTCTCCCAAGCATTGCGCTAGGATGGGAGTTGAACTGCAAGGATGATTGGTCTGGCACCTGGGGCGAAGGATACTTTTGTTTTTAACCATGTTTTTTTATGGAGTGTTGTGAGCCACCTAGAGTCATCATATGAGATAGG